AGACAAAGGACATGCCCGGACACATGCGAGGCGCCAAATCAAGCCTTGATTTATGGCCCAGCCAAAGGATTGCCAAGGCGTAGGGATACCAAATACCGTATAAAAAAGTCCACCAAACTAGCATTAGCACCCTTGTAAATGTGTAAAACCGCCAGGAAAACACACTCTGAGAAAGAGAAGGACGACGGGTCCACCAACAAATCATAGAAATCCGAGTGGAATAAAAAAAAAAAGAAGGAAAACCAAAGGGAATCCCATACAGAAACCAGCATCTATTAGTTGCGCCACTCCGGTCGTCCTGCCTGTAAATATGTGAAAAACCTCTGGTGATAATTTATTTATTTCGGATTATTTATTGCACATACATCATAATTTTCGAGACTCGCTGGCAAATATATTTTATTCCTTAAGCAGGCCCCGGCCCCGTCTCCGAAGAAGACACGCCAAGAATTATAACTTTCAACAATGAAGGATGCGCAATAAATTAAAAATTCCAAACTTAAAAACGCAACAATAAATACATGCGAGAGGGGTATGAGCAAGGACGAGAACAGGACATGCAGTTGATTTATTTCTCCTCTATGGAAAATCACAGAGCCAAAGAGCAGAGGAGCGGAGTGGAGTGGAGTGGAATTTCTCACCCCGCACTCCCCTAGAATCTGGGGAGATGACTCAAAGAAACGGAAGTATTTATTTCATAATCGTTATGATGTAATGAAGAAAGCGTCGACGTTTGCGAAAGATTAGGCTAGACTGCTGTTAGTTATCATTTACACTTTTGGCAATATATTTATTTTCATGTTATTAATGGTTATTGCTTAAATATATTTATGTAAAATATTTAATATTAGATAATGATATTTTTATGTTTTATGCTTACAAATAGATCGAAAGTTTTATACGCCATCCGCTTGTCAATCTCCACTACAACTCCTAGTGTGAATGATTTAAGAAACTGCGCAAAAAAAGTAAACGTAAGAACGAGTAGGAATAAACCGAAACACATCCTCGACATCAAAAAATACGTGGCGCATATTAAATTCTTATAAAATCGGCACTCAGCAAGGGATGCTCCGCGGGGGGAAGGGGCGCGAGTTGGGATATATATACAGGCATATAGATAGACTAGGGCGCTATTGTTAAGAGTTTGAAGCATTTTATGATACCCTCTGCCTCTAGCCCTAACTCCGCCATGGATGCGAGGTCCCGCTGCGATATTAAAAACTTGTTGCTAATATAAAAAAGATTCGGATACGGTTGTCGATGTCGCATTTTCATAATGCCATTGATGATCATCGCAGGCTGCAGTGGCAGATGATGCCGTTGATGATGACATCAATGACATTTGTTGCGGTTCAATAAATTCGCAAGCGCTTGGAAACACATCGTATATAGAAGGTTTACACTGGGCGAAAAGGTTTTTTAAAAGTTAAACTAAAGTGACATTCGAAATGTTAAAGTTCAAATTATCGATAGTTCAAAAAGCAAACGCTACATGGGCATTATGTGACTGTTAAAGTGGTTAGGTTCCTAGTTTAAATAAAATATAAATTACTGCAGTTTATAGGTAATTTTAGTATTGATAGTGAGTTTGTTACTGAAAGAAAAGCATTTAGGTTATTTTTAAAAAACAAAAATATAATTAAATGTGCCTTAATACACTCTACTTGACTCTCTTATACTTGAACATAAACTATCTTTATTATGAATAAAAATATAAATCAGATATAGTCGTAAGACACAATTTCTTCGAGATTTTTCTCAGTGAAGGTACTCCTATGCCCGGTTTTACCCTACCCGACCCTAAGTAGGCTTGAGCCTCACTGCGCATTTAATTGTGGCACCAAGGGGGGTGGCAATATGGGAAGTACGAGGAAGTATGGAACGGGGCGAGTTGAGCATCGCATCGTAGTGCCAATTGTCAGAACGAAACGCTCCGCCATTCAGTGGCATCGGGGTGTTGTTTAGCTGTCGGATAATCCGAGGCTTGTTTCCGTTGATTAAAATGACATACATAGGGACCTACACAGAGAGCCAGCTAACTTGCCCACAATTTACCGCTGGGGCCTTAGGTCCAATGGATTTTCCGGATGGGGAACCAGTCGATTGTCTATAAGCCAACTGCAGTTCCCTGTATTTGAAGTGCCAAAAAGCACACTTTGGCTGCCTCTTTTTCTAGCTTTTTTAGCTGCACTTTTTTGCTGTCCTCGTATTAGTGAGTTGTCGAGTGAGCTCTTTGGCGAGAGGATTTATGCTCGATGACGATATTTGTTTAGCCGCTTAGTTTATTGTTTTGTTTTATTTTTTTTATTTTCATCCACTCTTGTTAGAGCATTTCAAATATGTTCTGATTTAAGTTCCCTTTGAAGTTATTTGTGATCAAAACTATTTTGTTATAGAAAGAAAATATTAAAATATAAAATTAAAATATTACATTTGTTACTTTAGGAAAGAAAGAAAAAAATGCAAACAAGTCTTATTTTTTAAATTTTATTTGTCTAATTCGTTAAGAAGTAATAAAAACAGAAGAAAGAAATCTCAAAAGTAGATCAGCATTATCCCATTGTTGGAGCTCAGATTTCTCTCTGGTAGTCTCAAATATATAGCAAATTGCACCTATCAATGCCATTGACATCTATTCAAACAAATGTATAGGGCCATAAGGGATTGCATTTTGAACTATTTGGGATTTCATCCAACTTCGTAGTTAAACCTGTATTATTGTCTAAAGGGAAGTCAACGTAATCAGGGTCGTTAATATCAGGCTTCATTGCCTTATCAAAGTCATGATTTTCGTTTTTGTTAAGTTGATTTTCAAATATCTGGCTTTCCAATCGTTGCAGACGATCCTCCACTGCATCAAGCCTTTGTTGATTATAGGTCCTTTCCAAAGGGGTCTGTCAAGCATTTTATTAGAATTAGTATCCTTTTACAGGATGCTTAGGATTAAACTTACATATCTAGCGAAGACATTGTTCCAGGACAAGCCAAACAGGATGAGCACTATAAGGTATTTCATTTTGATCAAAACTTAACTCACGCTCAAGACTTAAGAATTCCGACTGCGAATCAAGTACAATCTGAGCTGTCTTTTATAGCCCATCGTGACTCATCAAGCACAAATCTTGCGATATTTTGTTAAAATTGTCTTGTCAACATATTGCATCTTGTATGACATATTGCCCTCTAATGATAAGATTATTTTATTATGACTTCCTTCACTAAAGTCATGGTCTTGTGCTAAAAACAGCTGGGTTATTAAGTCGTTCATTAAAATTAATTATCAATTTTTTTCCATTTAATTAAATATTTTTACTCTACTTTTATTTGTTTTTTTTGTTATTTTTTATTATTAATCAGAAATAATATGTTCAAAAATGATTAAGACTTAAAATCTTCAAAATTTTCATGGTATTAAAATGATTTCTTATATCTTATATATATATATATACATACATATATTTACTAGTTACTAAGGCAATAATGTGATTTGTCTGTCACTGTCAAGATGTCGGTTCATATATATGTATTCAAAGTTCCGAGTCACTCAGTTTGGAAAAATTTCAATTTGATAGCCTTTGACCTATAAAGCTAATTTGAGTTTGACTTACACGCTGAAAAGGCTAAATGTTTATTGCAAATAGCTCATTAAAATGTAAAAAAAAAAACAATTTAGAATTCGTGAGAAACTACATAATAATCTTACTTCTGAGTAACAATCACGTTGTAATAGAAAGGTCAAAGAAATTAACTCAAACCCTGCAACAAAGCCATTGAAACAGCAGGAATATACTGCATTATAAAGCATAGTGCTAATCATTTTGGTGGCTTAATGGCGGTTTTCTTTTTTTTTTTATTTTGTTGGCTTCACCACGCCCACATGTGAGAATAAACGACTGAGTCTTGGATTTGAACACCCAACTTATTACGTTCTCCAACGATGAAATTACTTAATCAAAGTTGGATTATCTGCCCAGCTCAGGGAGTAAACGAATGGATGGCGAATGGTGGCGAATGGATGGTGGGTGGGTGAGTTGTGGGTGGCTTCTTGGCTGGGTTTCATTTGAATTAAAAGCGCCAACTCGACCGGAAGTCGGCAAAGCAGAGTTTGACAGCCAGCATGGGGTACTTGGCATACATATGTCAGGCCACACTGTGGCGAAGGCTGTAAATGAAAAAGTTAATATAAAAAGTCTATTGAATAAGGTAATATAAAATCATCAAAAAATCATTCTTTTTTAAGTCATAAAAACTAAATATTTAACAATTTAAAGCAGATAATAAATAAATATTTATAATTTTCAGAAATTTAATTAGCTTAACCCTATTAAATTTGCCACTTGGGACAGAAAATGTACTAAATTCGAAAACAATTTTATAAAATTTGTCAATATTTTGGCTCTGTGTGGCCTTCTATGCTGCAGCTGAAACTAAATTAAATTCCGTGTCTAATGCTCTCGCCTAGGATTAGTACCAAACAACGCCTCAACTTGCCTCGCCACATCGGCTAAGATGGGCAATATTAAATAATTTTTCCCATCTCCCAGGACACACAGGACTCGGTACGGTACACACACACATATGGCATGAATTCAGGAGTTCATTGTTTTGCATCGCAGCAGTGAAGTGAAATGGAGTAGAGCCGAGGGTGTATGTGGCTGTGTGTGTTTCAGCCGGCTGTCCCAACCAGGAGACGGAAGATTAAAGTCTCCCGTGGCGAACTTAATAATAAAAGCCCAGGACCAGAGTCCTCCTGCATTGCTAGCGGATGGTGTTGGCACAAAAGTATTTAGTGGGCAAAGGCAGGGGCTCAAGCTTAGCTAAGGGGTATTGGACGCAAATCTTTTTTCGAGTGCCAGACATTAGCAGCATTATACCAACAACAACAACAAGCTATCGCATACAGATATCATTCCTACTCATATATATATATATATAAATGTATATCCCAAACATTGCACAACGACCGAAAAGCTTTGAGCAAAAATGCAAACGAGGGGCGAGTGGAAGCCACGGGTTCACCAAATAACCAAAGGACTTATGCCGACTCAGGCCGGGATTTCGAGGTGTTTCGCTGTTCTTTGGGTGTGAGGAGGTTCATGGAGGGTTGGGTTGCTGGATTGGTGGAAGCCAATGCAGTAAATGTATCTGCATTGTAAGCGGTAAATATGAGAAGCCTGCGGAGCGGCTGATACTGATAATCTCGAATCGACATTTCCGACTCTTAATTATCATTGCGGTTTGTCTATTTGGGTTGTTTGGCCATCACAGGAAGCTTTTAGAGTTACTCCCAATAAATAGAAACTATATTTAGGCAATACTAAGGGGTACCATTTGATTATTTTCAAACAATTTCCAGCTTTGTTTACCTTAAGCAACCTCCTTCTTAATGATGAAAGTTCGGATTTGCAAGGGATTTAATGTGACACTGAAGTCAGATGCATCCTGGGATTTGTCAGCTGCCAAGGGCTTGTGCAGGCTGGTGAAATACTCCGGAGCTGTGGGATTAGGACCGGAACCATCATGATGGAACTTCAGTCGCTTCATATCGCTCAGCGGGAGATTACCATCCAAGGTGGTTTCACGAATCTCCAGTCCACCAAGATCATCGAAGATCTGACGAATGTTAAAACTAACCACATTGCCTTCGGTTTGATCCAAAAAGTTCTCCACACGCAGAAGGACTTCGTCATTGGAGTAAGGTTCCAGGGTAAGAAGATGAACCGACTGGGGGAAGTCGTTGAAATCGGGCAAAGATTTGGTCACTTCCTTTTGGATGTTGCTAGTTTTGCTGAAGAACTTCCAGAAGGGCAGGTGAATCTCCTTCTCAGCCTTTCGCTCGGATGCTGTGGCCTTATCTTCGACAGCGTTGAGGGAGAGGTACAGTTTTCCTCGGGCTATCAATCCCTTTCCGAACTGTTGCTCATTGATGGCCTCGGCAGCTCCAGAACCATCGGCGAAAATGTGACGACGGTGCAGCATCATCTCCAAACGTCCATCCTCCAAACTGGCTCCTCCCTGGGAGCGATCATTGAGCAGGACCATTCGCTTGTTAGCATCCTGCAGAGCCATCCTGGAGGTTACTGGATAATAGTTTCCGCTCACAGGTTGTTCACTTAGATCGGGATTGAAGTCCTCTCGCTTATCCTTCTCTCTCTTGATCATTTCACGACCATTTGAGTCGGTATAGAAGACTCCGTCGGAGGCGATTCCACTCTTAAAGACTGTCACGATCTCCTTGCCCAGCTCGTCGTCTATGGGTACAGGACCCACCAGCCATTCGAGTTCCACTCGGTTGACACCCTCGTAGATGCGGATCACTTGGGAGATCCATTCGTTTATCTGTTGGTGAACTTCCTTGACGGAGTCACCTTCGTATACGGTGAAATCGAAAGCATCTTCCAGTATTTCCAAGTCTGAATCCTGGCGGAAAATGTAATGACAGGATCGAGCTGTCTTGTACATTCCAAAGGACTGCTCAATGTTTTCGGAAACTCCATTCATTTCAACGGTCTTCAAGCGGCCCGTGTTGTTGTCAATTATCAGTTTTATAAGCTAATAAATAAACAAAATGTTTACGAAAAAACTCTCTTAACTCAATCTTACTTAGGCACTTACCGAATTCTGGACAACTGTCTCTCCATCATCGCTTGTCTGCGCATCGGTTTTCAGGGAATGAACCTTCTTGAATCTTTTAGGCACTTCTAACTTAGATTCCTCTTCGTTGAAAGCCTGTTTAATTTGAGTGGGCTGAATAGAATCAATGTCTTCCACCTTATCAACTTTCTTGATATAGTAGCTAGCGATTTTGTTAACGGTTGCCTTGAAGACCAGCTCATGCTGAGTGTCGTTGTTACGGAACTCTAGGGCCAGAACCTGCCAGGGAACTGGGAACAGTTCAGAAGCCACCACACGGCCCTTCTCATCGGTCACCTGGTAGTTCTCGTTCTTCACGGGCACTCGCACATACTGGGTGGAAGTGTGAGCCAATGGATTGTACAAAGTCACCATTAAGTCATCAGCATTATCCTTGGTAAAGGCGCACTCGCTTATGTTCAATTTCAAACAACTTTCAAACTCGCAATTTGGCTGATTGGTAAGCACTCGCAGGGCATCACTGGCTGTGTTGGCGCCTCCCAAGATAGCATCATATAAAAGGCGATCGTAGTCATTGGACACTTCCTGCTTCTCGGTTCCAGTGATGGCATCGTGGTGCTGCATAACACCCATAATTTGGCGAAGATAATCCAAGTCCTTAGTCTGCTTTTCGCTGGACAGCTCAGCAAGGACACTCAATTGTTTGGCCACTTGGAGGATGTGGTTGCCATCGCGCTCAAATCGCTTCTGGGTGGGTCGAGAGGTGAAGAAGCCTGTCCAGAAACTCTTTGCCTCATGGGAGTGGGGCAGGAAGTCCTGGGTCTTGTTTGGCCAGCTTTGAAGACTCTTGTGCAGGGAATTCAGATAACATCCTGCGGTCGAATAAATGATGTTGTACTTGGACCCACTTGCCTGACGTTCGTTGACATACCTTAAGAAAGCTGTTTAAAATGCTGAAACAAACTTAATTCATAAATCTTACTTACTTGATCAGCTTGTCCATGTTCTTATAGTTCATGTAGGCATTTTCGTATTGGAAGTCATCGCCCATGGGCACCATTATGTGACTGGAGCGATAATACCCAGCCAGATTGGAGGCATAGTTGATGAAATCGTCCACCCTGGACTGGACATTGTTGTCGTAGCTCCGACCATCAATGATTGGATCGTCTTGGCAGAGGGAGTCAAAACAGAAGCCAGGCGGTGCCGAGTAGTGATTGTAAAGCATGCCAGTGAAGAAATCTAATTCCTTAAGAGTTTCGCTGGCATCCCAAATCATTTCGAGTCCCAGGTTATCCACTCGCTTGTTCTTGTCATTCTGATCCATGCGGGCAAAGAACTGGCCATCGAAACCCATTTGGGCAAACATTGAGGCCTGCTCCCTGGAGTGACCAAAAGCATCGATCTGCCAGCCGACACGTGGACGACCACAAACCCCAAAGTTGTCATTAAGAAACCTTAAAGATACGGTTTAAAGATTATGTAATATAGGGAATTTCATCATCTTACTTCAATCCAACTGCAAATTGATCGATCACACTCTGGTAATTTACGGCAGCCTCGTCGTTCATGCTCCAGGCGCCACCCGTGAACTCGAGACGTCCTTCGTTTACCAGCTTCTTGACCAGTTGCTTCTTAGTTTCCGACTGATCCTCCCACCACTTGGCAAAGAAAGCCGTCTCCACCTGAATGAAGCGGCGTCGTGAGTCCTTGCTCAGTTCGGCCACAACAGTATCGAATATATACTGGACCCCAGCATGCTGAATGTTATGCTTATTTCCGTAATAATACTGATCGACCGTTTTCAGCCAGCCCAAATCGTCATGGGAGTGGGGCACCAAGTGAATATTGATCATATCGGACTTGGTTTCAGGACATGACTAAGGAAATAATCCTATTAATATATGTAATTTGAGGTGTTTTACCTAAATTTACTTCATAGCCACAGACAGCCTCAGATTGGATGATGTGCGAGCCCAAAAAGGCCAACAAAAGGGCCAAGGCCTTTATATAATTCATTTTGCAGAATTCGCAAACCACCAACTTGAAACGGACAACTGACTTTATAAAAAGAACTTTCCCACTTTTATAAGTTAAGTTCTCAATGGGGGGCTAACTGATAAGCTATCAGCACTTCAAAGTGTTTTGAATTTCAACTAGTCAAGAGAACCAATTAACTAAGCCCCCAACCATTAGCAACGAGTTTAAAAGGGTAAGTACCTTGCGTTTTATTTCGGCCACATGCAGTGCCCCGGTGTTGCTAACATAATCATACTGTACTTGCTGGCTTATCTCGGTTAAGGCCAGGAATTGCAATCCTTATCGCTCAATAACTTAATTACTTAAATCGATGTTAATTGACGATTGCCCACTTGAAGATAACGGCAGGTTTACGAGTCCGAACCACTTCTGGTTTTTAGGAATACAGTAAATCGTGTCCTAATCATAAATGAAAGTGAAAGTCACACATGTAGAAGTGGGGATAACCAATATGAACTCAAATAACAAAAACTAGTATTGTTTAGTATAATTTTATTGCCTTTTCTTAGTGTCACAATTAAACGTTTTTCGTTTTAATAATAAATGTGCGAATTTGCATGGGATATAACGTCACGACAAACAGTGAAGCTTCGTCCGATTGGTCAGCTTGAAGTGACTTGTGCTGAGCCGTAGAGTACTCCACGCCAGATGGTCTACTTCCAGATTCTCGGGCATGGAACTTAAAACGCTTCATATCGCTCAGTGGCAAGTTGCCATCCAAAGTGGTTTCTCTAATTGATAAACCACCCAGACTGTCGAATATATCACGAATATTGAAGCTAATCACATTTCCCTCGGACTTGTCCAGGAAGTTCTCGAAGCGTATCAGGATTTCAGTCTCCGTGAAGGACTCCAAGGTAAGGAGATGAATCGACTGGGGAAGGTCATTAAAATCAGGTAAGCCTTTGACAGCAGCAATAGAGTTTTCACTAGTCTTGCTGAAGAACTTCCAAAAGGGAAGGAAGAGCTCCTTTTCAGTCTTACGTTCCGTAATGGTATCTCCATCTTGAACAGAGTCTAGAACCAGATATAACTTTCCACGGGCAATCAAGCCTTTGCCGTACTGTGTCTCATTCAGAGCTTCGCCCACGCCACCACCATCGTTGAAGAGATGTCGACGATGGAGCAGCATCTCCAAGGCACCATCCTCCAGACTGGCTCCTCCCTGGGCACGATCATTGAGTAGGACCAATCGCTTACTATCATCTTGTAGAGCAATCCTGGATGTGACTGGATAGAAGTTGCTGCTCACAGGCTGACGACTCAAGTCCGAAACAAAGTCCTCACGCTTGTCCTTCTCGCGTTTCATTAACTCCCGGCCATTGGAGTCGGTGTAGAAAACTCCATTCGATGAAATTCCACTCTTAAAGTTTGTTACAAACTCACTGCCCAGCTTATCATCGATGGGTATTGGTCCCACCAACCACTCGAACTCCACCCTATTGACACCCTCGTAAATCCGGATCACTTGCGAGATCCAATCGTTCTGTCGCTGGTGAACTTCCTTGACCAAACTGCCCTCGTAAACTGTGAATTCCAAATCATCTTCAAAGACTTCAATATCCCCATCTTGGCGGAAAGTGTAAGCACAAGAAGTATGAGTCTTGTAGACGCCAAAGTTCTGGACGATTTCCTCAGAGACACCGTTCATCTCAACTGACTTCAAGCGTCCTGTTTGGTTGTCAATCACCAGTTTTACAAGCTACGGATTAAATATTTTATAAATAAAAGATTTTTTAATAGATATTTACTTAAGAACTTACAGAATTCTCTACTACAGTCTCAGAACCTTCAATTTCTCGGGGGCTAATCTTCTTGCTCTCTGAACTCTCCACCTTCTTGATAAAGTAATTGGCTATTTTATTGGCTGTACCCATGAAAACCAACTCGTGCTGGGTATCATTTGGTCGGTACTCCAAGGCCAAGACCTGCCAGGCTACTGGAACTACTTCTGAAGGAACTATTTTTCCTTTTGCATCAGTGACTTGGTAGTTTTCATCCTTGACAGGAATGCGAACGTACTGCGTCGAGCTATGAGCCAAGGGGTTATATAGGGTCACCATCACGTTGTCAGCACCATCCTTGGTGAAGGCACACTCACTGATGTTCAGTCTCAGGCAACTATTAAATTCTCCGTTCGGCATATTGGTAAGAATTCTCAGAGCATCTCGGGCATTGTTGGATCCCCCAATAATGGCATCATACATCATACGATCATAGTCATCCGATACGGCCTGCTTTTCAGTTCCAGTTATGGCATCGTGGTGCTGCATTACTCCCATAATCTGGCGAAGATAATCCAAATCTTCGTTGTGCTCTTCACTCGTAAGATTTGCGAATACGGAGAGCTGCTTGGCCACCTGCAACATGTGATTGCCATCCCGCTCGAAGCGTTTCTGAGTGGGTCGGGAAGTGAAGAACCCTGTCCAAAAACTATTCTTCTCGTGGGCATAGGGGAAGAAGTCCTGGGTCTTGTTAGGCCAGGATTCCAAGCTCTGATGTAGGGAATTTAGATAGCAGCTCGGGGTGGAGTAGAAGATGTTGTATTTGGAGCCAGCATCTTGGCGTTCGTTTATGTACCTAATAAAACAGATTAAGCAAGATTTGTATTTCCTACCCTTTTTCATTCTTACTTGATTAGCTTGTCCATATTCTTGTAATTGACTTTGGCATCCTCATACTGGAAATCACCGCCCATGGGGACCATAATATGGTTGGTGATGTACACCTCTGACATGTTCTTAGCATATTCAAGGAACACATCTACCCTCTCTTCAACATTGTTTTCCTCACTATCGCCATCGATGATAGGCTCATCCGTGCAGAGTATATCGAAACAGAATCCTGGAGTGTCCGAATAGAAGTTGTACAGCATTCCACTGAAGAGATTGACGCCACTTAGAGATTCACTGGCATCCCAAATCATCTCCATTGTTAAGTCCTTCATGCGGGTGTCCTTGTCGTTATGATCCATTCGTGAGAAGAACTGACCATCGTAACCCATGTGGGCGAAAATAGCTGCCTGCTCGCGGGAGTGGCCAAAAGTATCGATTTGCCAGCCAACTCGTGGACGGCCACAGGCTCCAAAGGTCTCGTCGAGGAACCTAACAATGTCGGGTTGTAAACATTCTTAAAAGATAACCATTTCCTTCATGTACTTACTTCAAGCCCACTGTAAACTGATCAATCACACCCTGGTAGTTGACATTCGCCTCATCATTCATGCTCCAAGCTCCGCCGGTGAACTCGAAACGTCCCTCTTCCACCAACTTGGTAACCACTTTCTTCATGGTCTCCGATTGATCATTCCACCATTTTGCAAAAAAGGCCGTCTCCACCTGAATGAAGCGACGCTTGGGGTCCTGCAGGAGCTGAGACACAACATTGTCCAATATGTATTGCACACCAGCGTGATGGATTTTATTCAGGTAACCGTAGTAGGACTGATCGACTGTCTTCAGCCAGCCAACATCGTTATGGGAATGTGGAACCAAGTGGATGTTAACCATGTTCGCTTTTGTTTCGGGGCAGGACTGTTAGAAAAGGGTATATCCTTAAAATTAATATAACTTTTAATAGATATCTCTTACCTCATAGCCACAAACAGATTCGGATTGCCTTACGGAGACCACCAACAAGGTGGCCAAGAGGAATATTCGACCGAGATATATCATCTTAGATCATTACCAAGTACTAACATTTTCAGCGCCAGCCCGCTGTTTTATAGGCCACACGATTTTTCGCTATGATGTGATAAGAAAATACAAGATGGTCACTGTGATAAGGTAACTTAATTAGCAATTAGAAGGGGTTATAAAATACTCAGAAACTGGTAATTACTGTTTATTTTAGAACTTTCACCCTCCACGTTGGGATTACGGAAAAGCTGTAAAACCCATTTTTTATCTACCACTTCAGAAAGTTCATACCTTCTGTAATGCACTGCAATCTTATCGATCCTTTAGCGTTGTGAATCTTAATGTTTTTAAACAAACTGCTTAACTTTTTTGACTACTGTGAATGAATTTTATTTATAATATACATACTGTAGTTGTTTTAATACACATGCCGTTCCTTCTTCTGTGGTCCAACCGAAATGCTCTGTATTTATATTTCTTATTCTATTTTTGCCTTATTTCTAAGTGTTTGGTGACATTTGCTGATCGTGCGAACAGGACACACATAGTTTTCGTAGCATGATCTGTATGCATAAGTAAGGGAAAGGAATACATTGTGCTTTCAACTAACTGTGTATAGATAAGTTAGTGTGACCGCCTGCTACATAACATACATACATACATGGTGTAAAATCAAAAATAAAATTTCAAAAGCAGTTCATTATTTAAAAAGCGATTGGGTAGTGGCAGATCCAATGCTTTTCATTGATTATTAACCTATACACGTATTTTTTGAAGAAACAATCTCTTAAATTTGGTCAGATTGTCAGAAAACCTGCCCCCACCTCTGATGATTTTGTTATATCATATATCTTGAGTAAAATTCCATTATAGTGAATAACTAATGAAAGTATCTTCTTTATTCTTCTTTTAATGTATATACATAACTAACCAAAAATTTAAAAAAACTAGAAATAGAAAGAACAATAGATAATTTAAAATTAAAATCCAATTCTTTAAAGAAAGTACCACAAATGGATTTGTTTTATATACAATTTTATTTGAATCATCAGAAAAACGAAGTTAATATAACTATACGTTATTATTTAATCTTGATAATGAAAGTACGGATTTGCATTGGGTACAGGGTCACTGCGAATTCGGAGGCATCCTGCGACTCGTCAGTGGACAGAGGCTTGTGGGCCGAGGTGTAATACTCAGGTTCGGTTCCTCTTGCTCCAGAACCCTCAGCATGGAACTTGAATCGCTTCATGTCACTCAGAGGCAGATTACCATCCAAGGTGGTTTCACGAATTTCCGAACCGTTCAAGTAATCGAAGATCGGCCGGATGTTGAAGCTAACCACTTTGCCTTCGATGTGATCCTTGAAGTTCTCCACACGCAGTAGAACCTCATCATCGTTGAAAGGCTCCAGGGTGAGAAGATGAACGGACTGGGGGAAATCATCAAAGCTGGGCAGGGACTTGGCAACAGCGCTGCTGCTTCCACTGTTCTTGCTGAAGAACTTCCAGAGAGGCAGGTGGAACTCTTTCTCGGCCTCGCGTTCAGCGGAAGTGGACTCATCGGCAGCATTCAGGATAAGGAACACCTTACCGCGGGCAATCAAAGGTTGGCCATATTTCTGTTCGTTTAAAGTCTCATCCACCCCGTATCCATCATCACGGACAAGACGACGATGCAACATAAGCTCTATTTGTCCATCCTTCATGCTGGATCCTCCCTGGGCACGATCGTTCAGGACTGCAATACGCTTGTTACTGTCCTGGAGGGCAATGCGGGAAGTGATGGGGTAATAGTTTCCGGCAGTCGGTTGCCTATCCAGTTCGGAGTTGAAGTCCTCACGTTTGTCCTTTTCACGTCGAATCAACTCACGGCCATTGGAATCAGTGTAAAACACGCCATTGGAAGCGATTTCACTGGTGAAGGTGATAACGACTTCATTGCCAAACTCTTCTTCAACAGGGATTGGGCCAACCAGCCACTCGATTTCCACAATGTTTCTGCCTTCGTAGATACGAATGACTTGTGAAATGAATTCGTTGAAGTGCTGGTGCACTTCCTTGACCAAAGCTCCTTCGTAAACAGTAAACTCGACACCATCCTCCTGGATGACAAAGTCTCCTTGGTTGTACTGACGGAAAACGTAAGCACCGGAGTCATAGGTCCTGTAAATGCCGTAGCTTTGATCGATGTTTTCGGAGACTCCGTTCATTTCAACTCTCTTCAACAGTCCGGTTTTGTTGTCCAGCACCAATTTGACCAGCTAATGGAGATATAAAGAAAACCTTAATGAAATCTTCTTGTTATAGAAGTTAATAGACATAAGCGACTTACCGAATTCTGGACGATTGTCTCTCCGTCATCGAGGGTTCCAGCATCAGTCTTCTTCTGGGAAATGGTCTTTAAGCTCGCGGTGCCCTCCTTGGTATCAACCTTCTTGATGTAGTAGTTGGCGATCTTATCGACGGTTGCCTTGAAGACCAACTCATGCTGAGTGTCGTTGTTTCGGAACTCCAGGGCCAGGACCTCCCAGGGAACTGGGACCACTTCAGAAGCCACCACACGGCCCTTATCATCGGTCACCTGGTAGTTCTCGTTCTTAACAGGAACTCGGACGTACTGCTTGGTGGTATGGGCCAAGGGGTTGTACACGGTCACCACCACGTTGTCAGCACCGTCCTTGGTGTAGGCACACTCGCTGATGTTTACCTGAAGGCAACTCTCGAACTCACCGTCGGGAACAATGTTCAGCACCTGAAGGGCATCGCGGGCGGTATTGACTCCTCCAACGATAGCGTCGTATAGAAGGCGATCGTAGTCATCGGACACGTGCTGCTTCTCGGTTCCAGTGATGGCATCGTGGTGCTGCATCACACCCATAATATGACGGAGATATTCAAGATCCTCCTTTTGCTGAGTACTTGAAAGTTTGGCGAAAGCACTTAGCTGCTTAGCAACCTGAAGAATGTGGTTGCCATCGCGCTCAAAACGCTTCTGGGTGGGACGAGATGTGTAGTAGCCAGTCCAAAAACTGTTGGAGTCACTTCCGTAGGGGAAGAAGTCCAGCGTCTTGTTTGGGTAGGACTGTACACTCTTGTGCACAGAGTTTAAGTAACAAGCAGGGGTTGAGTAAAAGATGTTGTACTGGGATCCACTGGATTGACGTTCGTTGATGTACCTAACAATGGAATTACATTAATTAAGCATTATCTATATATCACCAAATGCTTTCCTTACTTAATTAGTTTGTCCATGTTCTTGAAGTTAACCTCAGCATCTTCATACTGGAAGTCACCACCCATGGGAATCATGATATGGTTCGTGCGGAACTTTTCGGCAACTTGGGCGGCGTAGGCGATGAAATCATCAACCCTTGATTTGACATTGTTATCATAACTGTCGCTATCAATAATCGGATCGTCGCTGCAGTGAACATCGAAGCAGAATCCGGGAGTGTCCCAGTAGAAGGTGTACAAGAGACCAGTGAAAAGCTTGACATCGCTCAATGACTCACTGGCATCCCAAACCATCTCTAAAGCAAGGTCGATCATGCGTCTGCCCTTGTCGTTGTGGTCCATGCGGGAAAAGAACTCGCCATCGTATCCCATCTGGGCATATAGGGAAGCCTGTTCACGGGAGTGGCCAAAGGGATCGATTTGCCAGCCGACACGAGGACGACCACAAACGCCGAAGGTGTCATCTAGGAATCTGTCATAAAACGATATCTTAAAACTGCGGACAAAGAATCACTGAAGTAATAACTTACTTCAGTCCGACTGTGAACTGATCAATCACACTCTGGTAGTTTACAGCAGCCTCGTCGTTCATGCTCCAGGCTCCGTTGGTGAACTGAAGGCGGCCCTCGTTGACCAGTTTCTTGACAATTGCCCTGACGGTCTCGGACTGCTCGTCCCACCACTTGGAGAAAAAGGATGTTTCAACCTGGATGAAACGACGGTCTGGGTTCTTGATCAGCTCAGAGATCACGGTGTCGATGATGTACTGGACTCCGGCGTGCTGAATGTTGTTTTTGTGGCCATAGAAGTACTGATCGACGGTCTTCAGCCAGCCCACGTCGTCGTGGGAGTGAGGCACCAAGTGGATGTTAACCATGTTTGCTTTGGTCTCATGACAAGACTGTAAGACAATATTTGGTTCCGTTATTTTAGTTCAGTAATGAAGGAGGAATTCTTAGATCCTACATGAGTCCTTCCTTTTTCTTACCTCGTAACCGCAGACCGCTTGGGCTGACTTGGCTTGGATTGCCAAGAAGGCAACGCAAAGGACGATGCCCAGATACTTCATGTTAGCTTTTCTAGGCCTTTTAACTCGATGAAACACAGTTCTCGAGCAGATGAACACGACTGAATTTGCCCATTCATAAACAGGGTATATATAGGGGTTTGCCGAGATTGTTGATAAGCAATCGCTCCTTGAGGCTATCTCGGATTAGGAGAACTCCAGCACGCTTAAAAGTCAATTAGGTATTTTCAACGATATTTGATGAATAATGACTACTTTTTAAAATGTTTGTATAAGCCATATCAAATCTACAATTTACTTTTTGGAAGTAGTGGTCATTATCAAAGGGTATATCTAAATGAGCCCCCATATTGAGCGGCTTCTGTTTTGTCGAAGTTGCACTGCTTATCTGTAGATTAGTCAAATCGGTTTCAATAGTCGATTGCATTAGCATTGTTTTTAAATATTCGCCGAACTGTTTATGGATTTGTACTGGAAATTATCGACCACTACTTGTAGTAAATTTGTGAAGTAGAAGTGGGAAATTTAAAGCCCCACGCAGAGCCCAAGTGATCAAATAGAGTGGAGTGTAGAGTCGAATGAGGAATTAATCCAAAGCCAAAAAAGCACTTCTGTCCTGCATTTTGCTCGGCAACAAAAAGTTTGTGACAAGTCCGAAAATACTTGAGCGGATACTTGAGGTTATATAGATCTTGGGTAATTGGAACTGTAAAATCATTTTGTTGAACAATTTGTATGATTATTTTACTATGAACTTGAATTTAAACAAGATTATCGACAAATCGAAGAAATTTAATTGAAAGTGAAATATTAGGCAACGTCGGAAACCTTCAAAGTTGTTAATCTAAATCGTAAAATGTGGTCAAATGCTTATATTACATACATATTTATGGATATACATACACTTTTTGCTGTTGTCTTAAGTTAACTTCTTCAATACTCAAGAAATTAATACTTTATAAAGAATATTTTGTCTATAACTTAAATACTTTTCTATTCCTACATGTGTTGGCTTTTATTCAATTACACCTTTGAATTTTTATATTATATTATTTAAATAAAATGATCATCGCGTCGTGTTTGCTCCTCTTGAGCACGTCTTTACTCCATCAACTCTTCTTGAACACTCTTCTTCGTTCTTTGTGTCCTTGTTGTTTTCTCGTCGTTCGCTGAACTTCACGTTTTTGTCTTAATCGCCTAGGTCGCTTCCTCCTTCATTCGCCAGATGGTCACTCGTTGCAAGCTTTTAATATCTCTTCGTTCCTTTGTATCTTCTTATAACCTATTTCCACATACATATGTATGTACTAAATCTAATTAACGGTCTTAACGACTTTTCATTTTTAGATCTATGGATTACTCCTCCGATATTTAATCCAGTAATATTGGAAAAAATTATCGATTTTTTTACGATTTTTTTTTAATTACAGATCAAAGATCAACTCGTGTTTTATGTAATGCAGTGCATTCTGTAAAAAATCCAAAAAGACTTAAAAATGCAAATGTTTTTTTTATTTAAATACCATTTTATGTATTTCTCTTTAATATTCTTATAAAACTCTTGAATACACATATTATTTCTTAATAATAAAGGTTCGAATCTGCATTGGGTACAAGGTGACAGCAAATTCCGAGGCATCCTGCGTCTGATCTGCGGAAAGAGGCTTGTGAGCAGCGGTGTAATACTCAGGTTCTGATCCCCTAGCACCCGAGCCCTCGGTATGGAACTTGAATCTCTTCAAATCACTTAAAGGCAGATTGCCATCCAAGGTGGTTTCACGAATTTCCGAACCGTTCAAGTAATCGAAGATCGGGCGGATGTTGAAGCTAACCACTTTGCCTTCGATGTGATCCTTGAAGTTCTCCACACGCAGTAGAACCTCATCATCGTTAAAAGGCTCCAGGGTGAGAAGATGAACGGACTGGGGGAAATCATCAAAGCTGGGCAGGGACTTGGCAACAGCGCTGCTGCTTCCACTGTTCTTGCTGAAGAACTTCCAGAGAGGCAGGTGGAACTCCTTCTCGGCCTCGCGTTCAGCGGAAGTGGACTCATCGGCTGCATTCAGGATAAGGAACACCTTACCGCGGGCAATCAAAGGTTGGCCATATTTCTGTTCGTTCAAAGTCTCATCTACTCCGTATCCATCATCACGGACAAGACGACGATGCAACATAAGCTCTATTTGTCCATCCTTCATGCTGGATCCTCCCTGGGCACGATCGTTCAGGACTGCAATACGCTTGTTATTGTCCTGGAGGGCAATGCGGGAAGTGATGGGGTAATAGTTTCCAGAAGTTGGCTGAACTGCAAGCTCGGGGGAAAAGTCCTCTCGCTTGTCCTTTTCTCGTCGTATCAGCTCACGGCCGTTGGAATCAGTGTAAAACACGCCATTGGAAGCGATTTCACTGGTGAAGGTGATAACGACTTCATTGCCAAACTCTTCTTCAACAGGGATTGGGCCAACCAGCCACTCGATTTCCACAATGTTTCTGCCTTCGTAGATACGAATGACTTGTGAAATGAATTCGTTGAAGTGCTGGTGCACTTCCTTGACCAAAGCTCCTTCGTAAACAGTAAACTCGACACCATCCTCCTGGATGACAAAGTCTCCTTGGTTGTACTGACGGAAAACGTAAGCACCGGAGTCATAGGTCCTGTAAATGCCGTAGCTTTGATCGATGTTTTCGGAGACTCCGTTCATTTCAACTCTCTTCAACAGTCCGGTTTTGTTGTCCAGCACCAATTTGACCAGCTAATGGAGATATAAAGAAAACCTTAATGAAATCTCCTTGTTATAGAAGTTAATAGACAAAAGCGACTTACCGAATTCTGGACGATTGTCTCTCCGTCATCGAGGGTTCCAGCATCAGTCTTCTTCTGGGAAATGGTCTTTAAGCTCGCAGTGCCCTCCTTGGTATCAACCTTCTTGATGTAGTAGTTGGCGATCTTATCGACGGTTGCCTTGAAGACCAACTCATGCTGAGTGTCGTTGTTACGGAACTCCAGGGCCAGGACCTCCCAGGGAACTGGGACCACTTCAGAAGCCACCACACGGCCCTTATCATCGGTCACCTGGTAGTTCTCGTTCTTGACAGGAACTCGGACATACTGCTTGGTGGTATGGGCCAAGGGGTTGTACACGGTCACCACCACGTTGTCAGCACCGTCCTTGGTGTAGGCGCACTCGCTGATGTTTACCTGAAGGCAGCTCTTGAACTCACCGTTGGGAACAATGTTCAGCACCTGTAGGGCATCGCGGGCTGTATTGACTCCTCCAACGATAGCGTCGTATAGAAGGCGATCGTAGTCATCGGACACGTGCTGCTTCTCGGTTCCAGTGATGGCATCGTGGTGCTGCATTACACCCATGATTTGGCGGAGATACTCAAGATCCTCCTTCTGCTGCGTACTCGATAGATCGGCGAAAGCACTTAGCTGCTTAGCCACCTGAAGAATGTGGTTGCCATCGCGCTCAAAACGCTTCTGGGTGGGACGGGAAGTGTAGTAGCCAGTCCAAAAGCTGTTGGTATCACTGCCGTAGGGGAAGAAATCCAGGGTTTTGTTCGGATAAGACTGAACACTCTTGTGCACAGAGTTCAAGTAGCAACCAGGTGTTGAGTAGAAGATGTTGTACTTAGAACCACTCGATTGACGTTCGTTGATGTACCTGATACATTTTTTCAATTAGTTAACCTGTATGCTTAAAACTTTAGTATTATTCCTTACTTGATCAATTTGTCCATGTTCTTGAAGTTAACCTCGGCGTCTTCATACTGGAAGTCACCACCCATGGGAATCATTATATGGTTAGTACGGAACTTTTCGGCCACTTGAGCGGCATAGGTGATGAAATCATCGACCCTTGATTTGACATTGTTATCATAACTGTCGCTATCAATAATTGGATCGTCGCTGCAGTGAACATCGAAACAGAATCCGGGAGTGTCCCAGTAGAAGGTGTACAGGAGACCAGTAAAAAGCTTGACATCGCTCAATGACTCACTGGCATCCCAAACCATTTCTAGGGCAAGGTCGTTCATACGCCTACCCTTGTCGTTGTGGTCCATGCGGGAAAAGAACTCGCCATCGTATCCCATCTGGGCATACAGGGAAGCCTGTTCACGGGAGTGGCCAAAGGGATCGATTTGCCAGCCGACACGAGGACGACCACAAACACCGAAGGTGTCATCTAGGAATCTGTCATAAATCGATATCTTAAAACTGCGGACAAAGAATCACTGAAGTAATAACTTACTTCAGTCCGACTGTGAACTGATCGATCACACTCTGGTAGTTTACAGCAGCCTCGTCGTTCATGCTCCAGGCTCCGTTGGTGAACTGAAGGCGGCCCTCGTTGACCAGTTTCTTGACAATTGCCCTGACGGTCTCGGACTGCTCGTCCCACCACTTGGAGAAAAAGGATGTTTCAACCTGGATGAAACGACGGTCTGGGTTCTTGATCAGCTCAGAGATCACGGTGTCGATGATGTACTGGACTCCGGCGTGCTGAATGTTGTTTTTGTGGCCATAGAAGTACTGATCGACGGTCTTCAGCCAGCCCACGTCGTCGTGGGAGTGAGGCACCAAGTGGATGTTAACCATGTTTGCTTTGGTCTCATGACAAGACTGTAAGACAATATTTGGTTCCGTTATTTTAGTTCAGTAATGAAGGAGGAATTCTTAGATCCTACATGAGTCCTTCCTTTTTCTTACCTCGTAACCGCATACAGCTTGGGCTGACTTGGCGTGAATTGCCAAGAAGGCAACGCAAAGGACGATGCCCAGATACTTCATTGTAGGATTCCTAGTCTCTTAGCTCGTTGTAATAGATGGTTCCAGCTCCTGCACACGACTGACTTCTAGCCTTTGGTAAAGAGGGCCATTTATATCAAAGATCGTTGATAAGCTATCGGTACTTAAGCCTATCTCGGATTAGGTAAACTCAAACATGCTTAAAAATCAATTATGTAGGTGAATTTCAACAATAATAATTTGATAAGGGGTTCTCTTTAAACGTGTTTGACTTACAAACAAATTAACCTTAGAACTACTACTGGTCATTAAAAAACGTTTATCTAAATATGCCTCCATAAAAGTGGCTTCTGTTTTGACAGAGTTGCAGTTCTTATCGCCTGATTAGTCAAATCAATTTTTAATTGACGATTTCGTTGTAGCTATATTTATGGGTTTGTACTGAAAATTATCAGAAGGTAATATGGTTTATAGGTATACATTGACAGCGACTAACTTGGAAATCGAAAGCCCCACGCAAAGCGCAAGTGATGAGCCGTAATAAAGCAACAAGGCCGAAGCTTAATTAAAACCCCATCAAGCACTTGTGGCGACCTGGATTTTGCTCAGCAACAAAATACTTATGGGAAGATAATTGTTATTGTTTTTAACTGCAATGTGTTACACAACTATACAACTGTTATATTGTAGGCGTCTCAATGAATATGCTGTTCTCTTCTTTCTTTATCTTATTTGATCTTCACCTAATTTCTACATGTTTGGTGACTTTTGCTGATCGTGAGAACAGGACATACATAGTGTTCGTCAGCATGATTCTTATGCATAAGTAAGGGAGAGGAATACATTGTGCTTACAACTACTAATTGTGTGTAGATACATTAGTGTGACTGTTTATTAAACATGTCAGTATTTCCGCCTGCTACAGTATTATATTGAATAATGTCTCGGATATGGGTGATTTTAATAAAATTGGGCATAAAAACTACTAACATACAAACTATTTCTTAAAATCATTCAAAAGCTTTATATTAGCACTATGCTATGCTATGCTATGCTTAAAAACTTAAAGAACCTCCTATTGGTGTTTAATGGCGGTGAATTAATTTATCATATGGGGTTTTGGCCTGATTATCCGGAAACCGACTTTATAAACAAGTCTTAAACTAGAATAATGGAATCCGATTTAATCTAGAATGGGCAAAACGCAGTAACTAACTTCAGTTACTAAACCAGCTTACTAAAGATTTTTTTAAATTTCGATAACTTTGAAAAGTATTGTTGCGGATCTTCGACATTTGTAGCGCCGCCGGAAAGACGACGTGTTGATGCTGTTGATCGTTCATTTTTTTAATTCGCTCCTGTGAGCGTTAACAGACATATGTACATATGTATGTAGGTCGGTAAAGGCAAGGGCAGAAAGCATTTTCAATTCCTAGGAATTGAAATAATTGTACAATTCATAATCAAATCTTATCTTCACACTATCACTTTTCGTCCGCTTCCTTCGACTGCCAAAGTAGAAAATAAAGCTTTGGCTTAAGAAACCGGCTGACTTAACAGAGATATGAAACCCGAACATAAAACTATCAATAACTTCGGCGTTGCCAGATGCCATGGAAACAGTTTACTATCTATTCCAATAAGTACATACATACATATGTACATACATATGTATGTTTTCAATAAAAGTCGTATTCTTAAGCTTTTAGGTGTTTCAACAATAATTGAAACTTTTCTCCAATTTGAAATTGTTGAAGTTAAAAAAAAAAGGTTGCAAATTTCTTTATTTTTAGTTCCAATTTTGAAAATTAAAACGGAAGTTTTATCAAGAACTTTTCATTAATTCCCCAAAACAAGCCAAATATTTTTTATGACATCTTTATTTATTTTAATATTAACATTTCTTTTAGCATTGAGAACTTTGGTTTACTCCGTCTTGATAATGAATGTACGGATCTGCATTGGGTGCAGGGTGACGCTGAACTCGGAGGCTTCCTGGGACTTCTCAGCGGCCAAAGGCTTGTGGGTCGAAGTGTAGTACTCACAGCATCGGGCCTGTGTCCGGAGCTATCGTGGTGGAACTTGAAACGCTTCATGTCGCTCAATGGCAAGCTGCCGTCCAAGGTGGTTTCGCGAATTTCGACTCCATTTAAGTAGTCAAAGATCGTGCGAATGTTGAAGCTGACAACCTTGCCCTCAGTGTGATCCAGGAAGTTCTCCACACGCAGCAGAACCTCGTCATCGTTGAAAGGCTCCAGAGTGAGCAGATGCACAGACTTGGGGAAGTCATCAAAGCTGGGAACGGACTTGGCAACAGCAGTGGTGCTGGCGGTGTTCTTGCTGAAGAACTTCCAGAAGGGCAGATGGATTTCCTTCTCGGCCTCACGCTCCACGGCAGTAGACTCATCGGAAGGACTGAGGATCAGGTAGACCTTACCACGGGCAATCATAGGCTGACCGTACTTCTCCTCGTTCAGGGCCTCTCCCACACCATAACCATCATCGCGGACAAGACGACGGTGCAACATGAGCTCCATCTGTCCGTTGAGCATGCTGGCTCCTCCCTGGGCACGATCGTTCAAGAGGGCAATACGTTTCTTACTGTCCTGCAGGGCCATGCGGGATGTAACCGGGTAGTAGTTGGCGGCAGTAGGCTGCCTGTCCAGACCAGGAGTGAAGTCCTCACGCAAGTCCTTAACACGCTTGATCAACTGACGGCCGTTAGAGTCGGTGTAGGAAACGCCATCGTTGGCAATGGTACTGTTGAAGATGATAACCACTTCTCGGCCGAATTCCTCTTCCCTCTCAATGGGTCCAACCTGCCACTCGAACTCTACAATCTCTTTGCCCTCGTAAATACGGATGACCTGGGAGACATATTCGCTGAACTGCTGGTGAACTTCCTTGACCAAAGCTCCATCGTAAACGGTGAACTCAACACCTTCGTACTGGACAATGAAGTCAGCCTGGTGGTATTGACGGAAGACATAAGCACCGGAGTCGTAGGTCCTGTAGACACCATAGCTCTGGTCAATGTTCTCGGAGACTCCGTTCATTTCAACGGTCTTCAGAAGACCAGATTTGTTGTCGATCACCAGTTTGACTTGCTAATATTGGAAAGGATATTATAGCTTGGAACTAGAATTGGGTAACACTTGGAAACTTACGGAAGTCTGCACCACAGTCTCTCCCTCATCTTCGTCGTCGAAAGTCTCAGTAGCGTTCTTCATTGAGTGAACCTTCTTGAATCGCTTGGGCACCTCCATGTTGGATGCTTCTTCCTTGATGGACCTCTTGGACTTGGTAAGTACAGCAGCGTTCTTGCTCTCCTGACTTTCAACCTTCTTGATGTAGTAGTTGGCGACCTTGTCGACGGTTGCCTTGAAGACCAGCTCATGCTGAGTATCGTTGTTACGGAACTCCAGGGCCAGGACCTGCCAGGCAATTGGAACCACCTCGGAGGCCACCACGCGACCCTTCTCATCGGTCACCTGGTAGTTCTCGTTCTTGACGGGCACTCGCACATATTGAGTGGAAATGTGGGCCAAGGGGTTGTACAGGGTCACCACAACATTGTCGGCACTGTCCTTAGTGAAGGCGCACTCGCTGATGTTTAGCTGAAGGCAACTCTCGAATTCTCCGTTGGGCATGTTGGTAACCTTTCGCAGACCGTCGCGGGCAGTGTTAACACCACCGAGGATGGCGTCGTATAGAATGCGATCGTAGTCATCGGACACGTGCTGCTTCTCGGTTCCAGTGATGGCATCGTGGTGCTGCATCACACCCATGATCTCGCGAAGGTATTCCAGATCCTCCTTCTGCTGCTCCTCGTTCAGATTGGCGAAGACGCTAAGTTGCTTGGCAATCTGCAGGATGTGGTTGCCGTCACGCTCGAAACGCTTCTGGGTGGGACGGGAGGTGAAGTAGCCGGTCCAGTAGCTGTTATCATCACTGCCGTAGGGGAAGAAATCCTCCGTCTTGTTGGGCCAGGTTTGAAGTCCCTCGTGCACAGAGTTCAGGTAGCAGGCGGGGGTGGAGTAGAACAGGTTGAAGGTGGATCCCTCGGCCTGACGCTCGTTCACGTACCTAGGTACAGTCAGAATAATGAGTCTCGGAAGACTATTATAAGATCTTTAAAACTTACTTGATCAGCTTGTCCATGTTCTTGAAGTTAACCTGGGCATCTTCGTACTGGAAATCATCACCCATGGGGATCATGATGTGGTTGGAACGGTAGTGCTTGGCTACCTCAGTAACGTAGCTGAGGAAGTCATCCACGCGGGACTTGACATTGTTGTCGTAGCTCTTGGTGTCAATGATCGGATCGTCACCGCAGTGGACGTCAAAGCAGTAGCCGGGAGGAGCAGAGTAGTGACGGTAAAGCAGGCCAGTGAAAATCTCATCGTTGGTCAGCGAGTCACTGGCATCCCAGATCATTTCCATGCCCAAGTTATCGATACGGTTGTTCTTGTCGCGGTGATCCATACGGGCAAAGAACTCTCCATCATATCCCATCTGAGCGAAGATCGAGGCCTGCTCACGGGAATGACCGAAGGGATCAATCTGCCAACCAATGCGGGGACGGGCGCAGGAGCCGAAGGTGTCATCCAAGAACTTCAAACCCAGGGTGAACTGATCAATCACACTCTGGTAGTTAACAGCAGCCTCATCGTTCATGCTCCAAGCGCCACCGGTGAACTCGAGACGACCCTCGTTGACCAGTTTCTTCACAACCTGCTTGGCAGTCTCGGATTGCTCAGCCCACCATTTGGCAAAGAAGGAGGTCTCCACCTGGATGAAACGACGGGAGGGATCCTTGATCAGCTCAGCGATCACAGTGTCGATGATGTACTGGACTCCGGCATGCTGAATGTTGCTCCTGTGGCCATAGAAGTACTGATCAACGGTCTTCAGCCAGCCGACGTCGTCATGAGAGTGGGGAACCATATGGATGTTGATCATATTCGTCTTGGTTTTGGGGCATGCCTGGAAAAATATGAGAATAATTTTAGTACTTGATTTGGAAAATCCGATTAAAGAATCATCAAATCAAAGAAAATTATCATAGTTTATAATATTTAATTTAAATTTCCAGCACTTCATAGTTCATAAAGTGGATTTATTTTCACGGAATTCACATCCTTTAGAACTTGATCTATCCTGGGTTTCACCTCTCACCTCATATCCACAAGCCTCCTCAGATGGCCTGATACTAAGGGCCAAAAGGGCCACAAAGAGCACAATGCCGCACAGATATTTCATGACGACGACTTTCCAATTTCTTTTCGAACTGAACGCGAAGACAGTTTCGATTCGAGCACAGAACTGACTTTCTCTGAAACTTGGCACAGCTTTTATAGGAAGACCCCCACATGGGTTTCAGCAAAGCTGATAAGCAATCAGCCTAGACCCTCAAGAGGCTTGTGCTTAGGCTTAGGGCCAATAAAACGGTTTAACGATAACCATTGCGCTTAGGAAAATACTGATACTCTTACTACGAAGTTCAAGTTCAGTGAATTTGCGATCGCCAGTCAATGCATATCTTAATTGGTATCTTAATTGGTTCTAATCGCTGCCATGCGATTAGTAAAATGAATTCCCATTGACGATTACGCGATGGTACTTCTTATACAATGTTTATGGATTTGTACCAAGTCGAAGAGTTGGTAATTATTTCATGCAGATTAGGCCAATAGAGACCCCAGCAAACGGGGCGCTAATACTTTGGGGGGCTAAAGGTCTATTTTAGAATTTTTATAAGCCCTTCAGTTATAGCCATAAGTACCTGATTACCTTGAGTTTTGTTTTGAATATTAGGACCACATGGAATGGCTAATCATAAATGCTCATTAATAATCGATAATCGCAGGCAATTTAAAGATCTTTGCTTTTGATAACAAAAGGGTTTTTTTGAGGTACTACAAGTTTGATCTTTATTCAATGGTTAATATGTAAAAATGCAATAAAAGGCAAGATATCCTTTATTAAATTGGACCTCTCATATACTCCTTTGTCCAGTTAGATGCGAAGTTTATCAAGCACTGAAATATTATAAAATATGCATGGTACGGCAAGCCGAGGACAAAGACTTGTTTTACATCAATGCCAAACAGGGCTAGAATCCTTCTAAGAATAACTCTTAAGGAAGCTATGATCATGGGCGAGATAGCCATAAATTTGAGCCACGATTTCTGGTATATTAAAGGTCTGCTTCGAATAAAAAATATAAACGGCCTCTCAATAGTAGTGACACGAGGTCTGATATGGGGTCCATCGCCGGCACCGGATTGGTCATTGTTCGGTACTTCGTGTGTTGTTGGCGGCCAGCCCATTATATCCAAGCGCCTGGCAAAATCTTCAAATGGAATATGTATCAATCGCGGATCATTGTATGGCCCATCGTTTCTTTTCAAGCTCAGGAAGTCTTTGATATAGCTACTGTACCGGCGAAGTTCAAGGAGTCCAATGATTCCCATGACATACAAATGAGGGTCTTCAATGTCTAAGAAGTTCTTCCATTCTAAAAATTAGCAGATGCTTCAGACAAACAATTTTGGATTCTAGGATGTTTGTGATTGACATGAAAATGAAAGAAAACTGATGGAGTATTAGTTAGATTTTGAAATAGTGCTGGTTTCCATAGCAAGTTCTTTTTAAATTAAAGCAAAAGCTTTGTTAATCGTTAATCAACACAAATCAAATGAAAGACCAACTCAATGATATGAAATTCATTCAACTTTTAATGAGTCTGCCTAGCATATAAAGACATATTTTTTAATGAAGCAAAAACGGCAATTATGCTGGCACATTCGTATTTATGCGCATATCCCTCCTTTTTTGCAGCTCAACACTATTGCTGCGATGATTGCATAAAATCGCTTAAATGCAAAACTCATTAAAATAATTGCAAAATGCAAAAGTATAACAAACTCATGGAAGTCGACGTCCCAGACCGCCGCCAGAGAACAGTGAGTACAGTAAACACACACACACACACACACACACACATGGAATATGGGAGCACACACTCATTAAACCAACCATAAATAATTAACAAAACAATTTATTTTCAAGGATATAAGCGCTGGGCTGGGTTGGTTCGGTTTGGTTTGGACCCCGGCTCAGTCTATAATTGCGTCGCATTATCCCTTCAGCCAGTGAGACTGCACTCTGCCTGCACTCGCGTATGCAAACTTCAAAGCTCATTTATGTGGCCGCTTGTCTGCGCCGATGCCAAGATGAAAAGCCAAAAAGTGGGCAAAAAAAAAAATACATAAAAAAAGAAGAAAAACAAAATTGTGCTGACAAACAAACAGCGTCTAAAAGTCAACAAACCATGGGACCCAGGGCTGACTGTCGTTGGCTACTGATGCGCGATATCTGAAAACACTTAGCCAGTCCATGTCCACACACATATGACGCATACGCCGTGTGTACCCGTGTGCGGGTGTAGTTTGCGAGTCATTAAAAGCAAATAACCTCAAAGCTAAGAGCTGCCGCTGGTGCTCTCGGTCTCTGGACCACTTGAGCAGCATAAACACTCTGGCTAGCTTGGTTAAAAAGAAATGCTGGATTTCCTCATGGCCATGTCCAGTTGTGGGGGTTCACAGGATAAACACACACACACACACACCCCCCTAACACACACAGCTTGTTGTGCGGCATTTGTCCGCAAACACTTTTGTAATTAATTGCGCATGGCCAGCGCAAATGTCAGGACCTCAGTGCTCAGCCTCAGATCCACTTAAAAGTCATCCGATGCGTTGGTCAAAGGTGGTTCCGGTCGCCCCATAACATTTCAGGGATGAATTACGAAGCTTTTCGAGCGATAAACGGCTACAAGAAAGATTAATGGGCTTATGATTTTGCCAAGATTACCGACTGGTTTGTGTTTATCAGGTCTTAGACAAACCTGTATAAACATTAGAGGAAAAGAATCAAACAAAAGGCATTCCAACTTTAAGATAATTTAAGGAAAACTCTGACATTTTTATTTATTTTTAATTTAAAAGGTTTGTTAATGTCACTGAGTCATCTTTTATTATTTTTTATCAAATCCAATGACCAATTAAACAATGCAAACGGTGTTATATCCTTTTTATGGCTCCATAGCTCTGTTCTCTAAACGAATTTAGCATAATTAATTGCCCTGTCGAAATGTGTGCAAATGGAGCACGCTGCATTGCCGCAGGTCCTGGCTAAGGATCTCCACACCGTCTAGATTCCTTCTTGGTCCAGGACCACTTCACTCCACTCCGACACTGCAGTAAAATATTGTTTCGTCCTGCTTGAGAGTATTTGCATAATGCAGCTGCATGCATTCGGCATTAAAATCATCCTTTTGCCGTCTGAACTCGCTCGTCCTTGTGAGCTTGCGTCTCCTTGTCACTGGGGTGTTCTCATTAGCACGACTCGAGTGGATTCGGCCCTGGGGGAACTATTTAGCACACAACGGCAACGGCAAAGGCAAAGGCAAACAGGGGAGAAGATATCAGAATAGAGGCATTCGAGTGTTACAGCAACAATTGTTAGAAGAATGTTGCCCGATTTCACTGTAGCTAATACAGAGTTAGCAGCACAGGAAGAAATATGGTGAGAAAATTAATTATAAAAATATTACGATAAATAAATCTTAGATGAAAGAAATTAAATAATGTTAATGGATTTTCGATTTCACTTAATTATTTTAAATCAACTTTAGTTAACTTTTATTTACTCTTCCTTAGAGCTACCAAACCCGTCTTGCTCACTTCGTTAATCTTAACAAATTCAAAATATATTTCCATAAATTTATTTAGCTAATGAATTTACTGTCATCGTTGACCTCTCCCTCAAAGCCCTTCACACCGTCAATCAGCAGGGGCCTAGGACGAAAAGGGTCTGCGAATTCGCCTTGAGATGAGTAATTAAAACATTTTTCACTTTGCGTTCACTCTCCTGCACCTCCTCTGCTGTTTATGTTCTAGTTTCTCTTTTTTGAGTAACGCGCTTCTTGCAAGTCAGCGCTGCACTTTCATGGAAAGTCATCTGCCTTTCAAACGAAAAAGCAAAGATGCGAGCTCAGGTTGAGGCATGTCAGACCGCAGAACTGCTACTTAAGAACCGGCAAAAATGTTTTACTTTCTCAAATTTCTTATCGCGGATATTTTAATTTTTGCAATCTTATCTAAACTTCTAATTTGTTGCCATCTGAAAATGCTAATCTACTCATTTGGCTTTTAGCTTATCAATTAGGTAAACAAAAACTCAAAGCACTCTTAGGTGTCAGAAATTTATAGCCGTTCGATCGATTCCTAGATTGATAATCCTAATGGCACACTTAAACTGTATTATAATGCAATTAAAGTGTTCGCCGTTGTGGTTGTACCAACTGATAAGTTGGCGGAAACGCGTGAAATCGGGAATTAAAAATCACTTGAATATTGATGGTTTGTGATTAAAAGTTTTATGAGAAATTGGACTTAGAGAAGACTAAATAAGTGATACAAATTAAGTGTCATTTAGCAAGATTTTTTAAAAATTACATATAAAATGTTAAATTTAAGTTTTTGTCTTTTTATTGCTCTTCATTAATCAAGAGAGCTCTCAAAGATTGTACCTGGAGTTTATTTGCCAAGTCCAACAATCTGGAAATACTTAGTTTTAGGGCTTAATTATAGTTACTCTGAGTAATATTACTTCACTCGCAGGTAGCGCATTCCAGCAACTACTTAAGCCTAATCTAAACAATTGCCATTTTCCTTGGCTGCAGCTCAAAAGTGTTGGCCTCAAGTGCAGTTGCAATAGCAACAGCAACGAGTTAATGTTGTTTTTGTTTTAATATTTTCTTTTTTCTGTCACCTGTTCCAACACTTGAAATGTGACGGCAGCCGCCAAACAACCTAATTAGTATGCAAAACACATTAAGTGGCAGCCAACTACGTTGCCGCAGTACTCGTGCTAGATGGGAAAAAAAAAAAAAAAAAAAAAAGTGGACGCGGAGTGGGTGGTGCTATAGGATTACCTCGTCGGGGAGGCAGGCCATTGTTTTCACAACCTACAAAACATTTCAAATGGAAATTTTTAGCTCCCTCCCAGGGTGCACTGTGGGCTTGTGGCAACGATATTGACAACCTTCACCTTCATTGATGCCTATAATTAGTGCGCACAACGGCATAAATCGAGAGAGTGGTGGTGGTGAATGAGGGCTGGCAACGAGGGGGACTTTATCCGCCAGGGAGCTGTTTATTAATCATACGCCACGTTGACGCCGCCACGCTCGCTCAACGAGCCATCTAGTCGCTAGGAGTCCTTGGCTGGCGTGTACTAATTAAGCCTTCGATTAATTTACGCCTTTTGGGCTCAAACGTCAGTGTGAAAACAAAGAAAATTAAAAGCTTGCCGCTCGAACTTCAAAAGCCGGAAACGAAGCGAGCCTCGAACCTCGAAACCTCAGATCCATGGACCAAAATAAACCCGGTCCCGGATCCTGGTGTCTGGTTGTGCCCGAAAGGCAGTCCGGAATATGCGTTAATGATGCCATCACCGTCAGAGTGGATGACACTGTCTGGTCTTAGTGGCTCCGTCCGTCTGCTCATCAACGTTTTTGACGTACTCCTGGTCGTTCTTTTTTCCCATTGGAAACATCAAAGCGTTGAAGCTTGGGAATTGTTGACACACCGGATGAGCAGAGCTCGAGCGGGAGCTGGCTCTCCATTCCGAGATCCTTTCTGGGGTATATCATTTTCCCCACCTCGGTTTTCCCTTTTTCTTCTTTTTTTTTGTGTTTTTGTTAATACCCTGACTGCTGCTGCGCTTACTGATAAGCTTGGGGATTTTATTATGACATTTTCTTTTTTTTTTCTAGCCACATTTCCCCGTTCATCTGCATTACATTGTTTTTTTTTTGTTTTTCCGCTGAGGGGCAAAATTCAATGTTTTTAACGTTAGATACATTGAAATTGCCACATTTTATGGATGGATAATGAAGGCTCTGGGTTTGAGTGTTATTTATGGGTTGGCGATTTTGGTAATTTGGTGCTGAAAGTGTTGCTTATAAAAGTAGTAATACCTTTGGGATATTTGTTGGGTATTTTACCTGCTTAAGGGATAATTTGGATTTTTTATAAGTACCCTTGTTCCTTCGTCTAATTTCTGTAATTTTCACTAAATGTGTCGGCAAACTTGTAACTAGTCAAGCTCCCTTTGGAAAAATAAATCAAAAATGGCTGGCTTGAGTAAACTGAAATCACAGTTTTAATCACACGCTTTCTAAATTTATTTCCCATTTAAAAAGAGCAGATCAGAATGCGAAATTTCCATCTTCAAACCCTTGTCTGAGCCTTTCAAAGCCTTGCTACATATCGCCAGAGCTCTTGCCAGGCTTTCAAATTAAATGCATCTTGTAGTTACCTAACCATAACCAAGAACCACAAACATCTTAGCCCACCTTAGCCTTATATGATAAGAGAACCCAAATCCAAATCAAAATCCGAACTCAAACCGAAATCAAAGCAGCCATCGGCGTTGCTCATTGCGGTAAAATGTTCTTGCTGAAATAGAAATCCAGCCAAAGCCTACACAAAGGACCACATCTGTGTGGGTTGCTGGATGGTTGAAGAAGGTTGAATTGTGTGTGTGCTTCGAATTTGCGGAAATGAATTGGTATTTAATTAATAGTTTTACCCTGATTAATCTACCCCTTGCGCATCCGCCCCCCATCATCATCATAGCCATCGAGGGCATTG